CACCCTGATCCGGGACACCCTTCAGGCTGGCCCCCACCCATGCACCAGGCCTCTATCCTATCTAATAAAAGAGTAATATACAGATTGACCATCAACACACAACATGGCTGTCCCCAGGTGGTCAAAGATCCTGCCCCCATGTGGACACAAGATGGCCAGCAGGGGAGTGCAGTTGGGAGGGACCAGCTCTGCAAGGGAGGGCAGCTGGAGGCACTCAACCCTGCAGGGGAGGGCAGTTAGGGGTGACCAGGCAGGCAGAGGAGGGAAGTTGAGGGCAAACAGACTGGCAGGGGAGCAATTAGACATCAATCAGGCTGGCATGGAAGTGGTTATGGGGTGATCAGACTGGCAGGCAGAAGCGGTTAGGGGCAATCAGGAAGGCAGACAGGCGAGCAGTTGGGAGCCAGCAGTCCTGGATTGTGAGAGGGATGTCCGACTGCCAGTTTAGACCCAATCCCGATCTAAACGTAAAGTTAAACATACCTCAAGGGGTCCCAGATTGGAGAGGGTGCAGGAGCGCCCCCTGGTGGTCAGTGTGCTCCTGCAGGGAGCGCTGCTCAGCCAGAAGCTGGCGAGTGCAGCAGTGGTGGCGGGAGCCTCTCCCACCTCTGAGGTAGTGCTAAGGATGTCCCTCTGCCTTCAGTCAGACATTCCCTGAGGGCTTCCTGACTGCGAGAGGGTGCAGGCCTGGCTGAGGAACCCCCCAGTGTATGAATTTTGTGCACTGGGGCTCTAGTTTGAATATAATTGTGAGCTACAACAGAGGAAGGAGAGAAAGTAGTGACGTTATTATATTACATGCGACCTCTTACAATTCAAAATGTACACAAACGTCCTGCCTTCCCGTCCTTCATTACACCTGGCCCTCACCCCTCCCAGATGGAGAGGGACAGTTCTCCAACCAGAGGCATGCCAACAGCTGAGGTGTACTGGCCCTGATTCTCAGAGCAGCATCACGTGCACAAGGAGCCCCACACATCTCTGTGATGTCAGGGCACTTCCAGTCCCCATTTCAGAGACAGGAATGGAGTCTCTGCAGGACAGGACTTGTTCAGGGTCCAGGGCCAACATGTAATGATGGGGCATCGGAACACGGGCTTCCTGATTCCCAGTCCTCACACACCTCGTCACATACCATCTCCTATGAAGGGGTACGACCCCCAACTTTCCTACACACTGTTCCCTCCCCATCATCACCCGTCACTGACGCGGCATTACTGAGCTTCGGGGCTGGGTGAGTCCCGGGCATGGTGGTAGTTTAACTGCCACCACTGGATGCCGACAGCACCTCCCTCGCCCCACCAGGAGCCCCGCTGGCACAGCACACTGTACGGGCGGCCACAGAGGGTGTTCCCACAGCTCCCCGCTTTGTGAAAGAAGCTGTTGTTGGAGATTGAACTGTAGAGCATTTGCTATGACCCTTGGCACTTGGTAAGGGCTAGGTAAACATCAGCTGCTGTTGTCATTAGCTATCCACTTCCTGCCTGTGTGCAAGTCGTGGGCAAATCCGCTGCAGACTGAACTGTGGGAAGCGGGTGTGCGGACGGACACAGGTGCACTGTGCGGGGAGCTGAAGAGACTTGCGAAGGGAAGGACAAGCTAAAAGGAAAGGTAGGTGTGGACAAAGTTGGTTTCCTTCAAGAATTCAGACATATGAGTATACTTTTAGCATGCCAGCCAAAGCATTCATCCCCCTTATATTCTACCAAATGAATCTAAGTACATTGAAACAAAGGTCGGTCAGTGAGTCTCTCTGAGTTCATTTTCTCCCTGATACCCAAAGATAGATGGGCTCTCTCCTCACTCCCTGTGACACACAGACCAGGTCCTGTGCTTTCCCATTGCTGCTGGGCCAGCGCCGTGCATGCGTGTGGCGGGAGCACATGAAGTATTTGCCGAATGAGTGAAGTGTGATCCGGTGAGGCCGCGCGTCCAGGAAGAGACTAGAGTCTGACTGTCATTGTCACCAGGTGGGGCTGGTTGGAATGAGCTGGATTAGAGGCTGAGGCTGGTTACCAAATGAGGCCCCAGCTACTGTCCCCAATATCTGCCACGTGACCACAACCCTACAGAAAACAAACCACACATACACGCACACACACACGCACACGCACACATATATACATATATATACACATGCACACACAGACATGTACACACACGCACACGCATACATGCACACAGAAAGATTAGAAGGAAAGTCCAACAGATTTAACACCTAGATAGTGGACTCATAGGTGATTGCTCTTTCTATAGACATCTTGTATTTTATCAGTTTTCTACACAAGAGCCACCGACTACTTTCTGCTAATTCTAATCCTGTGGTTTAGACTCTGGCTGAGTGTCCTGAGGCCCGGCCATCCGCCTGCTCTGGCCGCCAGCAGACACCGGGTGCTCTGTGGTGGCTGCGCACAAGTGCGGCCTGGGCTTGCCGCCACCTCCCAGAGGTGGCCCTGCCAGGCCTGCCCGCTGGGCCAGCCGGATCCTGGGTTTATGGCAACAACATGGAACTCTCCCAGCTTCCCTGTGGCAGCTCCTCAAGGCCTCTGAGGAAGGAAGAGGGAGTGTGAGCGGCGAGCACGGCCAGCAGGAGCGCTGGGAAGGCAGAGCGGGCACCTGTCGGGACGCCTCAGCTCCTGGCCTGACCTGTGCCTGAAGTGGGACAGGGAGGTGGAGCCCCCGGGCCTGGGGCAAAGGGCCTACCCCGAGATAATCGACAGCAGTAACCAGGACTTTCTGAGCAATACTGTTGCTAAAACTTCTATAACCTGTACGTTTTATATAAACGGAACTGCCTTCAGCGGCTGTCCCGTGGGAGTGAGGAGGAGGAGGACGGCAGAAGCAATAATGAGCCAAACCACCAGCAGATCCAGCGTCTGCGAACCTCAGAGGCTCTTCGCTGAGATCCTGCTCTGCCCTGCACGAGGCCGGCCTGTGCCCGAGCCCCGGGCAGCAGCCACAGCCTCTCCCGGCGGCACTTCCCCCTCAGCCAGCCAGCTCCCGAGAGCATGGGTCATTCTTCCCCTCGGTCTCTGCGAGGAAATGAAACTCCCGAAGCGAACTCCCGCCAGTGCCCCCTCACCCAGTTTCTTCCGCCCTGGAATCCATCCCACGGGGCTATTCTGTGCTCAGAGGCTGTGAACACAATTCTCTCTGCTGCGGAAGCGAAGCCACTGGTGAATACATACTATGCCGTATTTTATAAATCAAAGAAAAAAGCCCAGTGCAGGCACAGGGCATTGAGGGAAGCCTCTCTGCCGGGCGGAGAAGCCAGGGTCATCGGTGAGCCGCTCCACTCCCCGAGGCGTCCTCCCAGCTCCCAGCGGAGCCTGGGCGCCCTGCGTCTCAGCCCTTCTCAGCAAGCCCTGGAGGGACATTTCCAATCCCAGGCCACGAAGGGGGACGGAGCTGAGGTCAGGGTTTACCTGGAAGAGCAAGCCCCGAAGCCCCCCCCCGACAGTCCTAACGTGGCGGCAGCAGCAGCAGCAGGAAATCACGGTGGAGCCAGGGGCCAGGATGAGCGAGGCCTTTTCCTGGCTCTTCTCCCCGGACCATCTGCACCCGGGGGTCCCCTTAGGGCCTGAGGCACTGCACACCCTCTTGCTCCCTCGCGAAGAGGGGGACAGAAAGGATGGGAGCCTCGCCTCTGTGTGTGAGCTCACGTCTTCCTCCTGAGCGTGAGTGCCCTGATCTGGCGCTCAGGCTGCGAGGTCCCCAGGACCGTGGTGGGCAAACTGCGGCTCGCGAGCCACACGCGGCTTTTTGGCCTCTTGAGTGTGGCTCTTCCACAAAATACCACGGCCTGGGCGAGGCTATTTTGAAGAAGTGGCGTTAGAAGTTTAAGTTTAAAAAATTTGGCTCGCAAGAGAAATTCCCATCGTTGTCCTGTTGCTATTTGGCTCTGTGGACCAATGAGTTTGCCGACCACGGCCCCAGGGGAACGGCTGGGCTCTGATTTCTTTTGTCCCGCAATGTGGTGCTTTAGTAAAGCCTGGACTCAGAGTAGCCACTTAAAGTATCCTGGAAGTTTTTGTATGTGTGTTTTGTTTTGTTTTTAAATTTGCCATGGCTGAAGCCGGTTTGGCTCAGTGGTAGAACGTCGGTCTGCGGACTGAAAGGTCCCGGGTTCGATTCCGGTCAAGGGCCTGTACATTGGTTGCGGGCACATCGCCCGTAGGGGGTGTGCAAGAGGCAGCTGGTCGATGTTTCTCTCTCATCGATGTTTCTAGCTCTCTATCCCTCTTCCTTCCTCTCTGTAAAAAATCAATAAAATATATTTTTAAAAATTTGCCATGAAGTTTCTCCCAGGGCCCTGGTCACCCGGGTCAGAGAGCCACGTCCAGCGGACGGCCGTCCCGTCTGAAACCCCACGAGTCCACGGTGACCACGTCACCGCCCGAAACCACCGCGGGCCTCTCCCAGTTCATTAGGCGGAGCTGTAGAGTATTCCGGCTCTCCGCCCCATCTTCACACCGCTCCCTGTGGGACCGGGAGCCACACCCCCTCGGAGGGCTCACACCAGACAGAGGCTGTATGTGGGGGGCGTCCTGCCTGACACCCAGCCCGGGAGCCCAAGGATTAGACGGAGGAACCACCTTCTTGGGGGTGAAGGCCAGGCAGTAAGGGACAGGGGCCCATGGTCCCCTTAAAACCAAGAACGCAGGTGCTGCCGGAGACCCATCCAGAGCACAGCCGGACGGCCTCCCAAGCTCCCAGCTCAGTGGCAGGCGTGGCCTGAGCCCGCGGGGCCGCCTGCCAGGAAACAAGGCCTTGCAGAGCAAGTGTGGACCATTCCTGACTTCTCTGAGCTCGCACGACCTCCCCTTCTGTCTCCACGCCTGACTCTCAGACATGCGAGGGGCACCGGGAGGGATGCTGACTTCCTGCCAGTCTCCTGCGGGCAGGTTTTCCCTGGGTCTCATCCCCGGTGGATGTCCAGCAGACCATTCCCGCCCACTGACTGCCGCCGACCCCCCCACACGCCCAGGGCCGGCTCTTACCGGCTCCCCGGCGGGGCGGCCGCTTCTCCGCCGGCCGGCTCTCCTTCCGGGGCCCCGGGGCCGGCTCTCCGGGGCTCCGGGCCGGGCCCGCGGGCGGGCACGGGAGGGTGAGGGCTTGCAGAAGCGGCTTCCGGGGCAGGGGTGGCTTGAAGCCCGCCTGCTCGGACGCCTGGGCCTTCCCCTGCCCCTGGCCGCTGGGGGACCTGGCTCCCCGGATCGTGGGGGGCGCCCCCGCGTGACACTTGTCGTCTTTGATGAGCAGCGCCAGTCCTCCCTTCTCCAGCCTGACTTCGGCGCTGTACCTCTTGGCTGCTTTCCCCTCGGGCGCGGGCACGTCTCTGTGTCTGAAGGAGAGGGACGTGGCCCGGAGCTTGACGGGGAAGGGGCTCCTGTCCGCGCTCGGGGGCGGCTCCTGGGCGGCGGGGCGGGGCTCCCCCGTGGCGGGCGTGGCCGCCGCCTCCGGGGGCCTCTGCCTGGGCCTGGCCGGGCCGGCCCCCCTGCCCCCCGAGTCCTGAGGGCCGTGCCCAGCGGCGTTCGGGCGCTCTGGGGGCGCCGGGGGGTCATCCAGGGCGGCCTCGCTCCTCCAGGCCGGCCGGCTCCGCGCCAGGGGCAGCCGGGCGGCGGCGGGGGCGGCGGGGGCCAGGGGGCCCGGGCGCGCCGGCCGCTCCCTGTGGCCCGCGTGCGGCCAGGCCCGGCCCGAGGACACGGAGAACTTCCTCCCGCCCCGGGGCCTGCCGCCCCCTCTCCCCAGTTTCTGCTCCGGCGCCTCCGGTTCGGCTCCCGGCTGCGGGGACTCGCCCTGCTCCGTGCTGGGGGCCTTCGGGGGGGCGGCCTCCTTGTCCAGGGCACAGGGGGCGGGCTCCTGTGGGGGTGACTGGGGGGCAGGCTCCTGTGGGGGTGACTGGACGGCGGGCTCCTGTGGGGGTGACTGGGGGGCGGGCTCCTGTGGGGGTGTCTCGGGGGCGGGCTCCTGTGGGGGTGTCTGGGGGGCGGGCTCCTGTGGGGGTGTCTGGGGGGCGGGCTCCTGTGGGGGTGTCTGGGGGGCGGGCTCCTGTGGGGGTGTCTGGGGGGCGGGCTCCTGTGGGGGTGACTGGGGGGCGGGCTCCTGTGGGGGTGACTGGGGGGCGGGCTCCTGTGGGGGTGTCTGGGGGGCGGGCTCCTGTGGGGGTGTCTCGGGGGCGGGCTCCTGTGAGGGTAACTGGACGGCGGGCTCCTGTGGGGGTGTCTGGGGGGCGGGCTCCTGTAGGGGTGTCTGGGGGGCGGGCTCCTGTGGGGGTGTCTCGGGGGCGGGCTCCTGTGGGGGTAACTCGGGGGCGGGCTCCTGTGGGGGTGACTGGACGGCGGGCGGCCTGGGGGACACACTGAGGCTCCTCGCCGGGGCCTGGTGCTTCAGGCAGCTCCTGGAGGCTGGGGGGCGTGGGGCGAGGTCCTCCGAGCACTCTGTGCCCTCTGCGCCCTCGGGACCGGGCACTGCCAGCGTCAGCCCCGCCCCCTCCTGCCCACCGTGGCCTGGCCCTCCGGGACCTGGCGGAGCCTCCACGGGGGTGGCGGGGCAGGTGCCAGGAGGTGCCGTGTCCTCCTCGGGAACGTGGGGAGACGAACTCCCAGCGTCTCCAGCTGCGTCCTCAGAGCAGGGACGTGGGCTTTCCAGGGATGGCTCCTGCCTGTGATGTCTGCCGCCGGGATCAGGGTGCGGGGAGTCTTCTGGCAAAAGTGGGCACTCCAAGCAAGGGGCTGGGCCTGGCACGGGCTCCGCGACCTCAGTGACCTCCATGACCTCCGGGGTGGCCTGGCGGCCAGGGGGGCTTTCCACCTCCTCGGCGCTGGCGCTGAGCGCGGGGCAGTGCTGCAGGCGCGCCCGCCGGGCACGGGGCCCCCCAGGCGGCAGCACGGGGGCCGGTCCCCGGGGCTCCGCCTGCCGCTCGGCACCGGGCGTCTCCTCCTCCTCCTCCTCCGGCGTGCAGGTCAGGTCGCCCAGGGACTCGGACTGCGCCCGCTAGGAGAGGAAGAGGACACAGCGTCACTGAGGGGAGCAGCAGCCCGCCCTGCCCACGTGTGCATCCACGTCCGGGAGCCTCTCCTACTCCCCCTCCTGCTCTGTTCCGGAGGCCGGCCTCACAAGCTCACTGTTCAAATAAATGTCCCCGAGGCTCTCGTGGCCACGCCGAGAACTGGGGGAGGGTGCTCACACGGCAAGGCCCGGGAGAGGGGGCGTGGCCGTGGAGGTCCGCCACGCTGCACTCTGTGCTGCTGCTTCTCTCCTCCTGCGTCCTCCCGGGGCGGGAAGGATCGCCAGTTCCTCCGAGCTCCGAGGGGAGCCGGGCCTGTGACCTCGGAGGGGAGCCGGGCCTGTGACCTCGGAGGGGAGCCGGGCCTGTGACCTCGGAGGGAGCCGGGCCTGTGACCTCGGAGGGGAGTTGGGCTGTGTGACCTCGGAGGGGAGCCGGGGCTGTGACCTCGGAGGGGAGCCGGGCCTGTGACCTCGGAGGGGAGCCGGGGCTGTGACCTCGGAGGGGAGCCGGGCCTGTGACCTCGGAGGGGAGCCGGGCCTGTGACCTCGGAGGGAGCCGGGCCTGTGACCTCGGAGGGGAGCCGGCTGGGTGACCTCGGAGGAGGAGAGCCGGGGCTGTGACCTCGGAGGGAGCCGGGCCTGTGACCTCGGAGGGGAGCCGGGGCTGTGACCTCGGAGGGGAGCCGGGCCTGTGACCTCGGAGGGGAGCCGGGCCTGTGACCTCGGAGGGAGCCGGGCCTGTGACCTCGGAGGGGAGCCGGCTGGGTGACCTCGGAGGAGGAGAGCCGGGGCTGTGACCTCGGAGGGAGCCGGGCCTGTGACCTCGGAGGGGAGCCGGGCTGTGTAACGGGCCTCTGTGGAGCCGGTCTCCGCTCAGCGCTCGCTCCTGGCGAGGGCAGGCTGTTTGCCTAAAACACGATTCCCTGCATGTCAGACAGGATCCACAGTGACCACAGCTCTCAGGGTGAAGGCCACACTTTCGGCTAAACTTAGCCTTACTGTCTCTGCTCATGGTGTCCTCCAGCTCCCTCCTCAGGCCCAGCAGCCCCTGCTGTCTGACCGACTGTGGGTCTGCGTGACCCCACACCGCCAGGGCAGCCTGCCTCTCCCCACGGCGCAAACCCCTCTGCGACAGAAAGCCTGCCTCCCCCGGCTCTGCCTCCCTCTCCCCGCACACCGGCTGCCGGTGGCATCTTCCTCTCAGAGGCCTGGACCTGGGACCTGGTCCTCCTGGCCGAACACAGCCAGCCCGGCTCTTCGGAAAGAGAGGAGAGGAAGGCAATCGCTTCGCATTCAAAAGCGGAACGTGAACATGACCCAGAGGCTGTGGCCTAGACTGTCTGTGAGAACTGACTCTGGCCTGGCGTCACCAGGCTGCAGCGGGCTCGCTCCTCCTGTTCGGGCAGCACTCCGGGGCCCGTCGATGTTATTTTAACGATTTCCAGCCAGCACCTCCTGGCTAAAGGGACGCAGGATCACTGGCATGTTTGAACAATACCTCAGCCAAACCCTCGCCAAGACGCACAATTCTACTCCTCCGGGCATGAAAAGAGGAAGGCGTGTAAGGAAAGCCACAGCAGAGTTTTCAAAGCGGCAGGTACAAAGGCAGCAGGGCCTCCTGCTGGTACAGGAAGTGATGCCGTTGGAGCCCCTTTGGGTTGTGGGTCCCCTTTAAAAGGCCGGAGCCCCCGCCAGGTCAGCACAGAGCGGCGGGCCGCACGGCCCCCGGAGCCACTGGCAGCCCGAGGCCCCGGAGGCCAAGGGGCGAAGGGGCGCGGAACACGGACCCCGGAGTGTGAGGAAAATGAGACGTGTGTGTGTGTGTGTGTGTGTGGTGTGTGTGTGTGCATGTGTATGTGTATGTGTGTGTATGTGTGTTCGTGTGTGTGTGTGTGAGTTAGTGTGTGTGTGTGTGGGGGGGGTATGTGTGTGTGTGTGGGGTGTGTGTGGGGTGTGTGTGTGTGTGTGTGTGTGGGTGTGGGTGTGTGTGTGTGTGTGTGTGTGGGAGGTGTGTGTGTGTGTGTGGTGTGTGTGTGGGTGTGTGGGCAGCGGGTGGGCGGTGCTGGCAGCCTGACTCTATCCCTAAGCACATTCCTGTTAGCCTATGGTCTCCCACAGCCCTTCCTTATCTGGTCCTGCAAGACCAGTCCACCAAGTCCTCCTCCCGTGTCACAGCCGTGACCATGCACACACACACACCCAGAGGTGCTCCCGGCCTCCAGCCCCGCAATGGGCTCTGTGCAGAGCCTGTGAAAGGGCCAGAATCTGACCCTTATCTGGGGACAAAGAAAGCGAAGGGCTCTAAAGGGACAGCTTCCTCAGGATCTGGAGACCTGACCCCTGACCACTGCACCGGGACATGTGAAACGCCTTATCTCCGCGCACTCCTGCCTGCTTTCCGTCATCTGGTAAATTCTGTGACAAGAGGGTGAGCTTGGACGTGGAGCAGAGGGTCAGGCACAGCATGCATGTGCCCCCGTCTCCGTGGCTCCACGGCTCCCCGTCCCCCATGCCCTCACCAGCCTCCTGGGAGAGTGGAGGCAGAGGCCCCGCCTGCCCTCCACCCCCTCTCACCAGCACGAGGCCGAGGGCAGCACCTGCTCCTCTGCAGGCGGAAGCCACCGCCGATGAGCAGCGTGGGGCGAGGGGGGCCAGCTCTGTCAGAGCCCTGGGCGCCCCCTTGGTCAGCCTGCCATCCTGCGGATCCCGGGAGAGTTCATGGCATCCTGCTCCTGGCACTGCGGCGGGAGGCGGACGGAGGGCGGGGAGGGGCACGCGGACGTTTACCGGTGTTCCCCGTCTGGGCGGGAGCCCACAGGCCGGTCCCATGCAGACGGGAACAGCTGAGGTCACAGCCTGCGCCTGTCCCCTGCCCTCTGCCTCGGAGGCTGACAGGTGCAGCCAAACACACCCCAGGATGGGACGTGTTTCTCAAACGTGAAAGAAACACGACTTGAGGGCCAAGGATTTCACTGAACCACGGGAGACTGGGCTCTGGAGGCAAGAAAGCCCTTCTGCTTTCTCCCAGAGCACGGCAGAGGCAGACCTCGGCGGCGGGCAGGGCAGTTTGCCCCTCGTGGACAGGGCGGGGTGCCCAGCTGGCACGGAAGGCGCCTGGCAGCAGGAGGAAGGAGTAAAGTGGAGGCTCTGCAGGTGCCTGAGCCGGGCTGGGGAGGTGGGGGTGGGGAGAGAGATCCCGGCTGTTGGAAAAGCCGGGCGGCTTGGACCTCACTGTCCCGCGAAGCCCAGAGGAGCGCGAACCCCACGGACATGCAGGGCCAGGAGGGCAGCAGCGGGCAGAGCAGGATGGAGCATCAGAAAGCAGCTGAGTCCCAGGGGCCACGGCACCAGGAAGGTCCTCGTGGCTGGGAAGAGGGACCTCGCGGGCGGAGGACACAGAAGACAGCCTCCAGCTGAGGAAAACGCGCAGACCTCCCAAACGTAACGCCCGCGGCTGCTCCCTCCAAGGGAAAGGAGGCGGGGGGAGGACACGGCAGTTTAAGTTAAGGGAAGACTGTTTGCCCAGATTGGGAAGAGCAGGCTCTTGTTGTTCTGAAATGTGGTTAAGAGCTAAGTCAAGTTCAAGAGCGAAGAAAGAGGCACAGCTCTTCTTCCCGGAGCAGAAAGGGGTGCTGCCCTCCCTTCCCCTGAAGCAGGAACTGGGGACAGGCGCCCCTGTGGGCCACAGACACCGTGGGAATAGCGCACACTGAGCACCAGCGGGAGCTGCCTCCGTCCCTGCCCGGCTCCGCGCAGCACGAGGACGCAGGCCAGAGCGACTGAGCCTTGGCCTCCACCCCTCCCCACCCGCCCCCCCTCAGAGCTCTCACTGGAAATGCTCCTGCACACGCCCTGGTCCCGGCTCCGGGAGCCACACTGCACTGGAGGGTCCTCTCAAAATCAGCCTTTCACACCACGCCAAGCCTTCCAGCACGAGCTTCAGAGCACATGCCCAAGGGGAGCCTTGTCTCAGGGGTTCCCCAACATCCTCAGTGGCCCCCTGCCACCGTCTCCAGCTGGCCCCGGGGGCCTGTCAGCCCCATCTTGTCCTGAGGGGCGAAGGGAGGCAATGCCGAATGCTGTCAGTGAGGTCTCTCTCAGCTGGGGGAAGGCACCTCCCCTACAGGGGCGGTGACTCCCTGGTGCCCTGAGCGAGTTCTCACCTCCCCCAGCTGTGACTGGCCCCTGCCCCGGCCGCAGCCCCGGGGCCTGTCCTCGCAGGGCCGGGCGGGTGTCCATCTGGTGGCTGCTTCTGCCATCGCCCCTTCCCTGTGTGCTCGTTCATCCGTGCACTCTACAGCGGTTTGCTGGGCCAGCCCTGTGAGGAGCCGGGCCCGGGGCTGCAGTCCGGCTGGGACCAGGCCTCGGAGCAGACCGGCAGTGAACAGGGAGCACGCTTTCCAAAGGCCACGCTGGTGGCCTGTGCTGTGAGGGGTGAGCGCCGCGGGGGAGGGGCGCTCCCACAGGTGAGCCTGTGGGGACAGGACCTCTGAGCCAAGACCCCGAGGCTGAGGAGGAGCTGCCAGGAGACCCAGGAGGGACAAGGCCTGTGCCCGGAGGCAGGGCGGCTCCGAGAGCTCAGGAGCAGGAGGAGGCAGAGAAGAGGAAGTCTGAGGCAGCTGGAGGGGTGGGGGAGGCGCGTGCATGCTGGAGTGTGGACTTCGCTGAGTGCAGAGGGAAGGCAAGGAGAGGCGGCACACAGCCAGCAGGCTCTTGATAAGGGGCTGCAGAGTGAGTGAATGAATGAAGGATGAGTGAATGAAGGAAGAGTGAATGAATGAATGAAGGATGAGTGAATGAAGGAAGAGTGAGTGAATGAATGAAGGATGAATGAATGAAGGATGAATGAAAGAGGGAAGAGGGAATGAGTGGATGAATGAAGGATGAGTGAATGAAGGATGAATGAAAGAGGGAAGAGGGAATGAGTGGATGAATGAAGGATGAGTGAATGAAGGATGAATGAAAGAGGGAAGAGGGAATGAGTGGATGAATGAAGGACGAATGAAGGAAGTGTTTCCGTACGGGAGAGACGTAGTAATTGATGTTGTCGATGGGACCCGGGGGGGCAGCTGACCCTGGGCGGGGAGAGGCGTGAAGAGGAGGCGGAGAGAAGTGATTACCGAGGACAGGCGCCTCATCTTGCTGGAGCGCTGGTTGCGGGGCTTCACCAGGAGCTTGTGCTTGGCTGCGGAGTTGTCCAGGCAGGAGGAGGACTCGGGCGGGCAGCTGAAGTCAGCCACGGGCGCCCCGCTGCTGGCCGCGGTCCGGGGGCCGGCGAGGGCGTCGCCCGGGGGCCCGGAGGAGGGCTGGTCCGGAGAGGGCGGCCGGGACGAGGAAGCCAAAGAGACCTTCAAAGAGGAGAAACAGCAATGTTAATTCTCAACGAAATCGACACCAACTTCGTGCTTTCACCCCTGTCTTCCCGGGAGGGCCCGTTTCACACGGAGTCTCAACGGGAGGGTTAAGCGTCAGGCCACCGCCTGGAAACCTGCCACCATTCCACTCCTTCCACGGCCACGCAGACAGCCTGCGCCCCAGGCCCCTCAGCAGACAGCTGCCGTCACCCTCCCACCGCTGCGGGCTCCCCCGTCACTGTCTGCGTCACCGCCGTCACCCCCACGGCTGCGGGCTCCCCCGTCACTGTCTGCGTCACCGCCGTCACCCCCACGGCTGCGGGCACCCTCACCGCTGCGGGCACAGGCACAGACACAGCCCGCTGCTCTGCTGACGCAGGCAGCTCGACTGCCCCAGGGCAGAGCCGGGCGGTCCTGTCTCTGGGAGCGGAGGGTGGCCAGGCAGCGGTGTGACCTCCAGGCAGGGGCACAGGGTGTGTGAAGCCCCTGGGCAGACCATCACCGGGCCTGGGCTGCCCACCCTAGATGTTTCTGTGTCTTTCCACATTCTCCCGGGGAATCTGGTTTAAGTTACCATCAGTTAAGTTACAACATTTCACTCATTTAAACTTCAGAGGAGAGTGACAGACAGCTGAGGGCGAAGTGTTGCCGGGGCGTGGCTGTCACATGCCGGACGATGGCAGCACCCGCGCCCTGCACCGCCGGCGCCCTGCACCGCTGGCCAGCTCTTCCCGGCGAGGCTGAGCGGCCCCGGCAGAGACCTGTCAGTCAGTGACAGAGGGCGCCACTGTCAGTGTGGCAAACAGCCCCGGGACCAGTGAGGAGACCAGGGAGGGGGAGCTGGGAGGTGCTGGCTTGAGCTGGGGCCCTGTCACCTGCAAACAAACGTTCTCTTCTAGCACAGCGCTCAATGTGAGCGAAAGCTTATGTGGGTTTTCCAGGGTTGTTTATTGTCCTTTTCTTTTTCCTCTGGAGTAAAGTACACATAAGATTTAGCGTCATGGCCATTTTAAGAGTGCAGTGCAGGGGGATGAGACACATTCTTACTACTGTGCAACCATCACCACCTTCTGCCCTAGGACTTCTCGTGAGGCTGAAACCCTGTGCCCCCCAAGCTCCTCCTCCCAGGCCCTCTCCCAGCCCCGGCCCGCAACTCAGCTTCTGTCTCTGAGCGTGCTTTCTGTCTCTGTGAGCGTGCTCTCTGTCTCCGTGAGCGTGCTTTCTGTCCCTGTGAGCGTGCTTTCTGTCTCTGAGCGTGCTTTCTGTCTCTGTGAGCGTGCTTTCTGTCTCTGAGCGTGCTTTCTGTCTCTGTGAGCGTGCTTTCTGTCTCTGAGCGTGCTTTCTGTCTCTGTGAGCGTGCTTTCTGTCTCTGAGCGTGCTTCTGTCTCTGAGCGTGCTTTCTGTCTCTGTGAGCGTGCTTTCTGTCTCTGAGCGTGCTTTCTGTCTCTGTGAGCGTGCTTTCTGTCTCTGAGCGTGCTTTCTGTCTCTCTGAGCGAGCTTTCTGTCTCTGTGAGCGTGCTTTCTGTCTCTGAGCGTGCTTTCTGTCTCTGAGCGTGCTTTCTGTCTCTGTGAGCGTGCTTTCTGTCTCTGAGCGTGCTTTCTGTCTCTGAGCGTGCTTTCTGTCTCTGTGACCGTGCTTTCTGTCTCTGAGCGTGCTTTCTGTCTCTGAGCGTGCTTTCTGTCTCCGTGAGCGTGCTTTCTGTCTCTGAGCGTGCTTTCTGTCTCTGAGCGTGCTTTCTGTCTCTGAGCGTGCTTTCTGTCTCTGAGCGTGCTTTCTGTCTCCGTGAGCGTGCTTTCTGTCTCTGAGCGTGCTTTCTGTCTCTGAGCGTGCTTTCTGTCTCTGAGCGTGCTTTCTGTCTCTGAGCGTGCTTTCTGTCTCTGAGCGTGCTTTCTGTCTCTGAGCGTGCTTTCTGTCTCTGAGCGTGCTTTCTGTCTCTGAGCGTGCTTTCTGTCTCTGTGAGCGTGCTTTCTGTCTCTGAGCGTGCTTTCTGTCTCTGTGAGCGTGCTTTCTGTCTCCGTGAGCGTGCTTTCTGTCTCTGAGCGTGCTTTCTGTCTCTGAGCGTGCTTTCTGTCTCTGTGAGCGTGCTTTCTGTCTCTGAGCGTGCTTTCTGTCTCTGAGCGTGCTTTCTGTCTCTGTGAGCGTGCTTTCTGTCTCTGAGCGTGCTTTCTGTCTCCGTGAGCGTGCTTTCTGTCTCTGAGCGTGCTTTCTGTCTCTGAGCGTGCTTTCTGTCTCTGAGCGTGCTTTCTGTCTCTGAGCGTGCTTTCTGTCTCTGTGAGCGTGCTTTCTGTCTCTGTGAGCGTGCTTTCTGTCTCTGAGCGTGCTTTCTGTCTCTGAGCATGCTTTCTGTCTCCGTGAGCGTGCTTTCTGTCTCTGTGAGCGTGCTTTCTGTCTCTGAGCGTGCTTTCTGTCTCTGAGCGTGCTTTCTGTCTCTGAGCGTGCTTTCTGTCTCTGTGAGCGTGCTCTCTGTCTCTGAGCGTGCTCTCTGTCTCTGTGAGCGTGCTGTCTCTGAGCGTGCTTTCTGTCTCTCTGAGCGTGCTTTCTGTCTCTGTGAGCGTGCTTTCTGTCTCTGAGCGTGCTTTCTGTCTCTGAGCGTGCTTTCTGTCTCCGTGAGCGTGCTTTCTGTCTCTGTGAGCGTGCTTTCTGTCTCTGAGCGTGCTTTCTGTCTCTGAGCGTGCTCTCTGTCCCTGAGCGTGCTCTCTGTCTCTGTGAGCGTGCTTTCTGTCTCTGAGCGTGCTTTCTGTCTCTGTGAGCGTGCTCTCTGTCTCTGAGCGTGCTCTCTGTCTCTGTGAGCGTGCTCTCTGTCTCTGAGCGTGCTTTCTGTCTCTCTGAGCGTGCTTTCTGTCTCTGTGAGCGTGCTTTCTGTCTCTGAGCGTGCTTTCTGTCTCTGAGCGTGCTTTCTGTCTCCGTGAGCGTGCTTTCTGTCTCTGTGAGCGTGCTTTCTGTCTCTGAGCGTGCTTTCTGTCTCCGTGAGCGTGCTTTCTGTCTCCGTGAGCGTGCTTTCTGTCTCTGAGCGTGCTTTCTGTCTCCGTGAGCGTGCTTTCTGTCTCCGTGAGCGTGCTTTCTGTCTCCGTGAGCGTGCTTTCTGTCTCTCTGAGCGTGCTTTCTGTCTCTCTGAGCGTGCTCTCTGTCTCTGAGCGTGCTCTCTGTCTCTGTGAGCGTGCTCTGTGTCTCTGAGCGTGCTTTCTGTCTCTCTGAGCGTGCTTTCTGTCTCTGTGAGCGTGCTTTCTGTCTCTGAGCGTGCTTTCTGTCTCTGAGCGTGCTTTCTGTCTCTGTGAGCGTGCTTTCTGTCTCTGAGCGTGCTTTCTGTCTCTGTGAGCGTGCTTTCTGTCTCTGAGCGTGCTTTCTGTCTCCGTGAGCGTGCTTTCTGTCTCTGAGCGTGCTTTCTGTCTCTGAGCGTGCTTTCTGTCTCTTTGAGCGTGCTTTCTGTCTCTGAGCGTGCTTTCTGTCTCTGAGCGTGCTTTCTGTCTATGTGAGCGTGCTTTCTGTCTCTGTGAGCGTGCTTTCTGTCTCTGAGCGTGCTTTCTGTCTCTGAGCGTGCTTTCTGTCTATGTGAGCGTGCTCTCTGTCTCTGTGAGCGTGCTCTCTGTCTCTGAGCGTGCTTTCTGTCTCTGAGCGTGCTTTCTGTCTCTGAGCGTGCTTTCTGTCTCTGTGAGCGTGCTTTCTGTTTCTGAGCGTGCTTTCTGTCTATGTGAGATGCTTTCTATCTCTGTGAGCGTGCTTTCTGTCTCTGTGAGCGTGCTTTCTGTCTCTGAGCGTGCTTTTTGTCTCTGTGAGCGTGCTCTCTGTCTCTGAGCGTGCTCTCTGTCTCTGTGAGCGTGCTCTCTGTCTCTGAGCGTGCTTTCTGTCTCTCTGAGCGTGCTTTCTGTCTCTGTGAGCGTGCTTTCTGTCTCTGAGCGTGCTTTCTGTCTCTGAGCGTGCTTTCTGTCTCCGTGAGCGTGCTTTCTGTCTCTGTGAGCGTGCTTTCTGTCTCTGAGCGTGCTTTCTGTCTCCGTGAGCGTGCTTTCTGTCTCCGTGAGCGTGCTTTCTGTCTCTGAGCGTGCTTTCTGTCTCCGTGAGCGTGCTTTCTGTCTCCGTGAGCGTGCTTTCTGTCTCCGTGAGCGTGCTTTCTGTCTCTCTGAGCGTGCTTTCTGTCTCTCTGAGCGTGCTTTCTGTCTCTGAGCGTGCTCTCTGTCTCTGTGAGCGTGCTCTCTGTCTCTGTGAGCGTGCTCTCTGTCTCTGTGAGCGTGCTCTCTGTCTCTGAGCGTGCTCTCTGTCTCTGAGCGTGCTCTCTGTCTCTGAGCGTGCTCTCTGTCTCTGAGCGTGCTCTCTGTCTCTGAGCGTGCTCTCTGTCTCTGAGCGTGCTTTCTGTCTCTCTGAGCGTGCTTTCTGTCTCTGTGAGCGTGCTTTCTGTCTCTGAGCGTGCTTTCTGTCTCTGAGCGTGCTTTCTGTCTCTGTGAGCGTGCTTTCTGTCTCTGAGCGTGCTTTCTGTCTCTGTGAGCGTGCTTTCTGTCTCTGAGCGTGCTTTCTGTCTCCGTGAGCGTGCTTTCTGTCTCTGAGCGTGCTTTCTGTCTCTGAGCGTGCTTTCTGTCTCTTTGAGCGTGCTTTCTGTCTCTGAGCGTGCTTTCTGTCTCTGAGCGTGCTTTCTGTCTATGTGAGCGTGCTTTCTGTCTCTGTGAGCGTGCTTTCTGTCTCTGAGCGTGCTTTCTGTCTCTGAGCGTGCTTTCTGTCTATGTGAGCGTGCTCTCTGTCTCTGTGAGCGTGCTTTCTGTCTCTGAGCGTGCTTTCTGTCTCTGAGCGTGCTTTCTGTCTATGTGAGCGTGCTTTCTGTCTCTGTGAGCGTGCTTTCTGTCTCTGAGCGTGCTTTCTGTCTCTGAGCGTGCTTTCTGTCTCTGAGCGTGCTTTCTGTCTCTGAGCGTGCTTTCTGTCTCTGAGCGTGCTTTCTGTCTCTGTGAGCGTGCTTTCTGTCTCTGAGCGTGCTTTCTGTCTCTGAGCGTGCTTTCTGTCTCTGAGCGTG